CGAAATGTCCATGTTACGGTGACATGCATGTCACCATAGGCACACCCTAACTATTATGAAGCGGGAAATTATAGCCACAATTATAGAAATTCAAATTATTAGCCATAACTATTGTTGTCGGTCAAGATGTGGCTAATAGTCTGTTACCATTATTGAATTTTTAACGGAGAAGGCCACGTCAGCGGCCACGTCGGACGGACTACTTTTAATTTACAACTTTAGTAAATAAATAAAAATAAACCTAGAATTGAAGCACTGACGTTTCTTTTTTTTATTTATAAATTAAATATTATAAAAAAACCAAAAAATACCCTCCACCCACCACTGCACCCTTCTTCCTCCCAACTACCTAACCCTTCTTCACTCCGTCGTCGCCATTCCTCTTCCTCGCACCCGTTCCACACCATCCCCTCCTCCTTGTTGTCGACACACCCCAATCCTCCTTGTCGTCGAGCGCCGCCGCAACGCAATCCTCCTCCTCTTGCTCCCTTTGCCTTCCCTTGTTCTTTCTCTTTTGCAGGTCGAATTCTCCACAACAAAGGAGCGGCCAGCTGGGGGACTGCGAGAGAGGATGAAGGTCGACTGGTCGAGGCTCCCCAAGGGTTTCCGATGCTCTCCTTCTCCTTCTCGCCTTCTCCCCGAGAACGACGCCACACAGGGGAAAAACGGGGCACAGAAGATGCAACCCGCTGACCTAGACTGACGGGCTAACCGCAGTTGGAGGAGAGATTCGTTAGATTTGCGACGATAGGGAGACTTTGAGGCGAGATCCATCAAATGGGCGGGAATCTGGAGGCTAGGAGGCGACTCCAATCTCTATCCTCTTCTTCAAAGATTCACCGCACCGACTTCTGCCGCTATCGATGTCCCGATTTCCCCACAAGAAGCTTTTAACTGTCTTGCTTCCCTCATTTTCCCCCTCTGCTGCCATCGATGTTGGCCACCATCTCCGACTCTTTCCGTCGAAAGCCCCATGGGTGTGCGTTTTATGCATTTAGGGGGTTCAATTGATGGGAGCGGTTAGAATGAATCGCCGCCATCAATCCCAATCTGAATCGCATAGGAAACAGGGGAGGGCAGAGGGAGACAGGGGAAGAGGGAGACAACTGAGATTTGAGCGTTTCGATGTAGGATATGGTCGTGATCCGGGCAGGGATGAACAAGAAGAAAAAGCGGCACCACCGACTTCCTTTTAATTTTTAGAATTTATTTAGTTATTTTTTCTTTCATTTTCTTAATTATTTAATAATTTATATTTTAAAATTAAAATTAAAAAAATGATATGTTGACTGCCACGTAGGAGCCAACTCGGCATCGTAAAGGTTAGTCAACATTACTAACGGAATTGTTAACAAAGAGTTAACGTTTGGCTAATAATTTGAATTGCCATAGTTGTGGTTATAATTCCCCGTTTTATAATAGTTGTGGCTAATATATTGTATTTACCAATAGATTGGGTCAAACTATTACATGAAATATTTTGTTGTTTTTTTTTACGTTATATTGTTTTAAAGATGGGGCATTTTATGTAACACTGCTTGATATGCCAACAATTAGAGATATTTTTTGTCACGTTTTAGCATAATTTTATGCTTTCGAAAGCAAAAATGAAATTTATAATATCCTCTATTACTTTGGCAACAAAGCAAAAAAAAAAAAAAATCACTGTTCTCTATCAACTACACGATTTTTACGACCCTAGTATAGTTTTCTACCATAACCATCGAGCAAAGAGAAAAGAAGAGAACGATAAAAGATTAAAAGAACATATTAATGTTATAAATTTGCCTTTGAATGTGAGAGTTGAGACTATTTGACCATAACCAAGTTCTATCTTCTATGAAACCTTTTGACAATGGAGATGATAACACTTGAATGCGGTGATTTATACCCCCATTATTAGGGGTTATCCTGTGAAATTTAGAGTATTAGCATCCTAAATCATTGCATTTTAGCATAGGTTAGCTTTATATTTGATATGGATAGATATTATGCGATGAATGTAACTGTATAGGTGTAAACGAGACTATTTGAGCACAACGGTAAGGTTTTGGCAGAATTTTAAAGATCATGTCTGCAACACATAGACCACAATCTCGATCCCTTCTAGTGATATGAGTTCACGAGTGGGCGCAAATGATCATAATGCCCATGAACGCGTTAATAAAAATGCCAAAAACGAATAGAGAGTTTTCACGAGTGCAGTCTTGATCACGGGTAAACGTCCGACTGTGAACTCAAAGATCACGATTGAGAAGTCAGAAACTGCAATCTTTGCTATAAAATTTGAGTACTTAATAAGCAAGGAATCGAGTCTTTAGAACTTTGTTCTATCAAGAGTGAGATGAAAAGTAAAAGTTTATGATTTTTTTGTTTTGTACATGTTTTGTAGGGGGACAATGACACAAATATATTTTTTTTAATTTACCACCAATATGGCAGATTAAAAAGTATTGACACAGATATTGTATTTTGGAGAAAAGAATCGGCGAGACCACCTGAGACTCAGGCGCTGCCGCTATGGATGACTTTTTGGATCGTTTTATTTAAAGTGACAGCGGCGGCGCTCAAGACTCAGGTGGCACCGCCTAAGACCAAGGTGAGTTGGTGGGGAAATTATCCCAGGCGATGGCGCCCAAGACTAAGGTGGCACCACTGGCTTATTGGCCACCCCCTATATAAACCAGCCAATTTCGTTTCAGTTTCACACCACAAAAAAAATCGTCCAAGACAAAGGAGAGAGCTCTGGTTGCTGCTGCAAAAATTGCTAATAGGTAAGAGACACATTCATTTTTGTAATTATATTATTCAAATGCTATTATGATTGTGTTTAGTTTTAATTAGTGAGTTTGTTTTTTTGTAGTGATTTTAGAAGATTTGAACTAGTCGTTCGGTGGAAATCGGAGAAAGTAGAGGATAATTTGAGCGTCAAATTTGTTGGTGGTAGTAGTTTTCAGATGACGGTTCCATCCAGGGTCACATATCATTATCTTTGTGAGAATCTAATTCTGAGAATATGGCGTAGAGACGAAGCAGTACAAGATAGTGATGTGATCACAGGTTTCACTTACCATCTTCCTGAATGGCAGAATGTTGTTTTATTTCATTATGCGATGCCTATTGTGGATGATGATAGCTTGAATGTGCTTTGGAATTTTATGGCACAAAATCCTTATTGTTTGGGTGCTGAGATACATGTTGAGCTTAGTGAGGATCAGGGTGGAGAGGAAGAAGATGATACATGGAGCGTGCCATCCGATCATGACTATGATGACGGTGATGACGGAGAGGAGGAAGATGAGGATGAGGAGGAGGAGGAGGAGGAGGAAGAGGGGGAAGGAAAGCAACCTAATTATCCTCCATATTTTTACTTGCAGGGTAATGAAGAGGACGAACAATACTCACTTGGTGATTCATATGGCGTAATTCCAATGCCTATTGTTGATAGTTTTGAAGGAGAATTCTACAAGGGGCAGATATTTCACTCGAAACAAGCTGCACAGATGGCGATTAAACACCACGCACTACAATGCAACTTTCAATATGGCGTGGTGGAGTCGTCACCTTCAATCTGGAAGGTCAGATGCTTGAGGCACAAGGATGAAAATTGTCATTGGATGGTGCGGTTTGGATGTCGAGATGTTGGAGGCGAATGGACTGTGAGAAAGGCTGAGTTGGTGCATTCTTGTAGCAGTACGACTCAACCGACGGATCATCGCCATCTTGATGTCGACATGATATCTGAGGCCGTCAAACATTTGGTACGTGCCCAACCAAATCTGAGTGTTCTAATTGTGCAGGCCGAGTTGAAAGATAAGTTTAATATGCAAGTTACTTACAAGAAGGCTTGGTATGGGAAACAAAGAGCATTGGAGAAGTTGCATGGAAATTGGGAAGAATCCTATGATTTTTTGCAAACATTCTTGTGGGTAGTCAAGAGAAAAATGCCAACATCGGTGATTGATTGGGTAAGAGTTCCTTCGACTCAACCAGGTCATTCGATATTTCAGCGAGTATTCTGGGCTTATGGACCTTGTATAGATGGATTCAAGAATTGTCTAGGCGTCATGGTTGTTGATGGAACATTTCTTACTGGGAAGTATAAAGGAGTGCTACTCATGGCGAGCTCATTTGATGGCCGGAAGAAGATTTTTCCAATTGCATTTGCCATAGTGGAGAGCGAGAATACTGAGAGTTGGCCATGGTTCATAAGGAACGTTCAGGGTTTGACTGATCGAAATGATGTATGCATCATCTCAGATAGACATGCAGGACTCTATGAAGCCATGAATAACATCGGAAGAGGTTGGGAGTGGAGGTGGTGCATGCGACACTATGCAAGCAATTTGCAAAGGAAGACTAAAAGCAGAATTATGTATAAGCAACTATTTCGAGTCGGTAAGCCTTCTTCATTTAATTTTGTTGATTATTTTCATGTAATTTTGTCATGAATTTATCTAACCCGTGTGGTTATTTATTTTGTTAGCCGGAGAAAAACGGTTGGAGAAGTTCGATCGTCAAGTTGAGCAATTTAAGAAGGTGGCCAGTGATAGAAATATTTCATGTGATAACTGGGTGGATCAACATCAGATTCGTTGGAGTTTAGCACATGATAACTACAATAGTGGGCGTCGTTGGTCTATGCTGACATCCAACATGGCAGAAAGCATCAATGGTGTTTTCAAAGGTATTCGTGCACTTCCTATAGCTTCTCTTGTGCAACATACCTATTGGCGATTGGTGGAGAAATTCGATAAGTACAGGATGGAGACAGGAGCACAAATTAGAAGTGGTCCTTCACAGTACTCCACCAAGTGCGAAGAGCTGATGAAGCCGTGGTCACAAAAGGCAGTTGGACATTCTGTGACACTACCTCTGAGATGAAATGCTCTCTCAAGGTAAGGTTGCCACTACATAAAAAAATTAACGTTATTATCCCTAAATCTAAAAAAATAAAACAAATGAAAACTATTCTATAAAATGGAATGTTATATACTAACCACCACGGTGTCCATCGCGTCAAACCACAGCTTGTACTGAAATAGCTGGTCACCATACTGACGACTGTTGGCCGAAAGCCATCGAAGACCACGTGGGGATGCATCCTCGGAATTCTGTGCCCTCGTCTCTGAATGTCGAGGTGCCAGATGTGGGAATCGCTCCCACGCCCAGAACTGCAGTAGGGCGACCCATCCACCAAGGTCACCGACTAGAGAAGTGCCGGTATGCGAAATGTGCAAAGTCGACCTACCCATCTCACGGTACAGGTAGGATAAAACAGCAGCTCCCCAGGCGAACCGTCCAGCTCTGCCAATCCTCAATCAGAAGTAGGTACTGTAGGTGCACCATAGATCCAGACCGATCCGGGAAAAGTACACCTCCCATCAGAGATAGAGCATAAGCTCGTGCAAACTGCTCTATAACCTCCTGTGATGCATTTTCCGGCAGATGACTGAATTCATCCCTCAGCCAAACAATCCTAACGACACCGACACCGCCTGAAAGATCAGCCGGAACCCGTCCTAACAGTCTCAAACAGATCGCCGACCACTCCTCATCCGACATATCAACTACGACGGCATCACCGTCGATCGCCAGACCGGACAGTGTAACAACGTCCTCTAACGTGATCGTGATCTCACCAAACGGTAGATGGAAGGTCGACGTCTCGGGTCGCCACCGCTCTACGAGCGCAATAATCAAACTTGCATCGGGGTTCATAGGGACTAGGGGCACGACACTTAACAAGCCTGCCGCTTCGAGATATGGCCGATAAAGCTCATGGTACGTCACTAAATGGTCGTACCTCGAACATGGTAAGATCGATCACCAGCCTATAGTGCACAAAACTTATATTAATTTATTTTCATTCGTAATAATTCTAATTTCACCTAATAATAAATTCTAATATATCTAATCTAATCTCAAATTATACTAATTTCAACAAATTTGATACGTAATCCTATTCTAATTTCAGTACAGTTCAGTTCACCAACTAAAATAATCTAATCTAATTAGCTAATTAAATTTACATAAATAATTATCAAATAATACTTACCTCGTTTGTCCAAACAGAGTCGATACGATGTTGGCCATGTCCCCAAAGAAGTGCCGGATCGACCGGACCTGGATCAATTGTCGTCGGCGGTAATCTCATCGAATAAGGGTCCATAAGTCTAGGAACTGCAAAAACAAAGCAACAAAACATTAATTAAAAAAACACTAAACATTAAAAAAAAACCTAGCCGCCGGCGAGATTCCGGTCGCCGCCGGCGAGAGTCTCACCACGACCTCGCCGGCATCTCCCCCTGCCTCTGTCGGCGACTGGTTCGTCTTCGTCGGACATCTCCGGGCGGTGGTGCTTCTGGTGGCTGCGGCGGGGGCGCTTTGCTCAGCGGCGGCCTCGCTTTTCTCTGGGCCGGTTGCGCTTATGTCTTCGGCGTCGGCGTCGGTGATTGGGGGCTGCGACGACGGCTCTGGCTTGGGAGAGGGTGGGGTTTTGGGGGGTGGTTGTGTGGTGTGGAGGAGGAGGAAGAAGAAGAAGATAAGGTCGGACATTTAAAATAAAAGGGGCTTAAGGCGGGAGCGCCTTAGTCTTGGGCGCCAGCACCTAGGACTTGTTTTAAAATTTAGTAAAGCGGCCCCGCCTGAGTCTTAGGTGGCCCCGCCTCCATCTAGCCAAAAAACACAATATTCTTGTCAATACTTTTTAATCCGCAATATTAGTGGTAATTTTTAAAAAGAACACAATATTTGTGTCATTCTCCCTTTTGTAGGTTGTGATTGAAGGTATGACATGGCAATATCTTTGTAGGTTTTGAGATTGTTTTTAATTCGAACAAATATGACATGATATGACGTGGAAAATTAACTCTAGTTAATGTTACATCAAATAATTTTAATTGAATTGTTCATTGAAAAAATATTTTGAATACTAATTAATATCCCAAAAAAACATATTTTTGTACAAGTTTCACCTCTTGTAAAATTGTTGTAACAGGAATATCAGATTTTAGAATAATTAGGATCAAAATTTTATACAAGTTTCACCTCCTGTAAGTATACAATATAATTGTATTTGGCATATACAATCGAGTTTTTCCTTCATCCGGAAGTAGAGAGAGGAGTGAGAGTGGGTTTCGGGTGGTCCAGGGGATGAGCGGAAACTTCTGGAAAATGCGCCTCCTATTGGATTTGGATGGAAGGGTCAAAGGATGGATGGGGTGGGTGGTGGTGGCATTGTTTGTTTTATTATAATTATAATAATTATTGGTGTTGTTTGCCTGCTTCAGTTTTGTCTTTTGTTTTTTAAACATTATTTTAATTATAGTGACATGGTATCTGACTATCTGTCGCCAACGAATCTTATGTGATAATATATTTAATTGATTATTTTATGAGGGGGAAGTTTTTTGTGGGCTTGGGCAGATCTTTACAAAGAAGAATAGTGGTGGTATTCATTTGGGAGGGCAAATTACTTTCTCAACTCTGATTGGTCGACTTGTTTATATGGGTCTACTACCCAATAATCCTCGGCGGATGCTCGTTTTTTCCTTTATTTAATTTACTACCTTTTGCTCAGATGACATTTATTTACGATGTATTTTTTTAAAGTTTTCAAAATATTTGAAATGTGTATTGTTACTAAGTAGCGAAATTTGTTAAAATTGAATTACATCATTAAATTATGAAAATTTAAATATCAAACACCAACGAAATACTTACGGAAGAGTTAGTGGGCTAGCTAACCGTAGTAAAAAGTCATATGTTTTTAAAATTTTAGATTTATGTATGTTTTTAGTTTAAAAAGATATATAAAATTCATTTAGTGTAATTGGTAATTATTCGTGTCATTGTTTAAACAAACCATGATTCAAATCCCCTGATTGATGTACTTTTTTCTACGAATAAGACAAATATATCATTCCTATTTATACTCTCGTTTGAGGAAATTTGAAATGCTGAAATTGTTTCTAACTCTCCTATTATATATTTGTAGAGTTTTTCTATGAAAGGCCACTCCTAAATTCAAGGTGATTGACAATTTTTTATAGTTAACATTAACCGTCACATAACTTTTAACTTTGTATAAAAGTAGCTTTGTTACTGGCCATAGTATCACAAGTAACGATTAACATCATTTTGATATGAATCAACTGCTCAAACCTTAGAACGACAACTACAAGACGAGTGCATAAAATGCTCAGACCTCAGAATGTCTTCAGTGCACTCACTTTTTTGGGTGCATTCAATGCACCCGCCTCATAATCGTCATTCTGAGAAGGCGATTCATGTGAAAACAATGTCAATCATCCCTTGTGGTATGATGAACAAGAGCCACATGAATTTGTACAAAAAATCATTCCAAGATTCACTTTAATTTGAATGATTCAGGGCTTAGGAATTTAGGGTTAGGGTTTATAATTTGGGATTTTGGATTGAGATTCAAAATTGAAGGTTATTAGGTTAGGGTAATGGGTTGATTAGTTGTGATTCTATGTTATATCATCATATGAGACTAATGCTACCCATTAGATTTCAAAATTTGATGTATTATGACCACTTTTAGAGGTGGGTGCATTCAGTGCACTCGCTTCATAACCGTCATTTTAAACATGCGATTTATGTCAAAATGATGTCAATCATCACTTATGATGTGATGAACAATAACGCACATGAATGTGCATAAAAACCATTAAAGATTTACTTTAATCTGAAGGATTTAGAGTTTAGAGATTTAGGGTTAGGGTTAGGGTTTATAATTTGGGATTTAGGGATAGAACTCAAAATTGGAGGTCTAAGGCTTAAGGCAATCCACTAATTAATTGTTATCATATGTTATATAATCATATTACACTAATTCTACAAATTAAAATTCAAAATCCAACACCTTAAGACTAGTTTTTGAGTTGGGTGCATTGAACACACTCATTTTTGTGAGTGCACCGAAGTAGTCACCATATATATATTATTCCTTTTAATTTCAGATTAATAATAATAAACTAAATACATACTGCTAAAAAATGTGGGGAAACGCTTTGTCCCACTGTTGTCAACCCACGGGTCGACTTGGACCCGGACGAGCTAGTGAGTCAAGAGTTAATGGGTCACCCATTTTAGCCCAGTTTAGCCTGGTTTAGCTCGAAAATATTGAAAGAGTCATTATATTGTACTTATCCTGAATTCAACATAGAAAAAAAACAACACTACCTAAACACCAATGCACTTAAATAACATCAACCTAAATTCAACATAGTAAAAGTTCAACAATACTTAAATCCATCACATAACATCAACTTAAATCCATCATAGTTAAAAATTGAAGAACACTTAAATCCACCTTTTTGTCATTTTTTTCTTTGTAGCCTTTGTGGTTGGTTTTTCTTTGGGCTTTCATTTTCCCTTAGATGTATCTGTATCCTTCCTGGACTTCGGTCCAAACTCTGTAACCCTTCCCTGTTTCGTAATGAAATGAGGCTTTCGTAAAAAAAAAAAAACTTAGAATTCCAAATAACAAAAGAAAAGTACTCAACCTTCCACATAAACAATCCAAAATTAACAATTTAATTGCTTCCTAACATCTAAAACATCAAACATGTAACAACTAACAAATAACAAATCAACTTCTTCCATAATCGAAACCACCTGCCAAATAAAAATCAAGTTCGTGTTTCCATTAATTGGAACCAAAACCACCTGCCAAAAGCATTTGGGTTCGAAAGTTGTTTCTATATCATACCTCACCCTCGAACTAAAAAAAAAGTTATATGTATAATATGCCCCTCGACTACTTTTTACATCAAACATGCCCAATAAAAAACTGCATAGTAGAGGGGCATATTATACCTATAACCCAATAAAAAACAAACAAACCAAAAGGAAGGGTAAAGAGAAAAGAGAGTCATAGACATTCAGAAGCTAAACCTGCTATAGCTAGATTCTGCATTAGTATTAGGCAGCTGGTGATGTACTTAGACAGAGACTGATCATATGAACCCAAAGGAACGGAAAAAGATATAACGAACGAATGAATGAAAGGAAGGAAGAGAAAAAAGATAAGATGATTGAGAGAGTACCATCAAGACTTGATTCTCATACCGAATATAATCAAGACTTTGAACAAAAGGAACGCAAACCAGAAGCACTAGTATCAACTATTTTTAGAGGTATTTACACCATGATAGAAAATAGGGCAAAAGGGTAATGATTCAATTCCTATCTTGTACTAAAACCAGAAATCCGAGTATCGTCTCTCAGAGATTGGAACAAACTTATGTTCTATTAATTTTATAAAGCAAACTAAAAGTGAAAAGAGTTTAATGAGATTAATTTCTAAAAGCAAAATAAATAAAAAAAATCTAATTAAACAAATAAAAACTGTCGGGAGAAAGCTCTGGGAGAAACACCGGTACTCACCATCTATCATATCCAAATTCATTCTCTTTTCCAAATCAGTTTAATCTATATCTCTACAGCTAGGATATCACTAATGTGCTAGCTATCCCTGTCGGGAATTACCACGTACTAAACAATTAAATAAAATCCTACTACGTAACTTAATGAATTAATTATTTAGCTTGAAGACCGATATCCTTATTAAGACTGCATAACACCTTATTTAATCCACTATCGCTTCGATAAGTTACTATGTCACATGAAATAGGTTCAGTTAGTAGGGTTTCATTGTTGCTAATAGCCTAATTAACTACAAATCATTGTATTGATGGCCAGTCAACACAAAGCATTAAACAATTTCATGTAATAGAGAATGGAAGAAAATAAATATGAATCAATCCATCAACTCTATAAATAACTATATCTTATAGGGTTTCCCCCGTAAATTGGGGTTTAGTTCATGACGAAAATAAAACACACTATCATGTTACTAATCAAAGAGAACCGATGGAGAATATTGAAAAAAAAAACCAAGCTGTAGCTCACAGTTCGTCTGCTTGTTGGGCGCGACAACAACTGCTCCGTGCCGCCACTCCGTGAATCCTTCCACTCTCCTTGCTCTCTCGCTAATTTTTTGTCCTGCACTGCTACTCCTATTCTCTTCCAAAGAATCATCTCCGAGCTCCTCTCCTCTCGTCCAACTCCCTCATTAATTCTTTTTTTATAAGGGTGACATCAATTATTATTAAACAAGTTTATTGGTACAAGTAAAAGAAAATAGAACACATGTACAAAACTACACAGCACCACCATATCAGAAATTCAACACTAAAATCCTACTGAAAGTAATCTTGAAGCAACATCCTTAACTATCACTAAACTAGCAGAACAAAACTAAAAACAGGTGGCAACAGAGTCGGATGCCCTGACCGCCAAACAGCAGCGACAAAAGCAGTAACAGCAGAATCGGATGCCCACAACTTGTCTTAAAGCAGCGGCAAATGAGGCAAAAATAGAGCTCTAAAAGACGTTGCAACGGTATACCATCTGTCATTTACGACTTTTAACATTGTGTATCACAAGATAACACCCCCATATTAGGGTGAATTGTATAGTATTTTTTGTTGCTGTATTTTGTTCACCCATAAATTTGTATATCCAATAGATCATGATGAACTCGTTCATCCTGTGCAAAAATTTTCAAAAACGACTTTAAAATGAAGAAGATACCATATGGTATGAAATGGATAACTAAAGGTATGAAATTTTTTTCTCAAAAAATAATGAAAATGGATATCATTTTGTAGAGCACAATGAACTAGTTCCATCTATGCAAAAAAAAAAAAAAAAGAAATCCAAGTTAAAACAAAGAAGATATGATCTCATTAAAAAAAGTAGGGGAAATAAAATGCATTTAATTCTCAACTCTTAAATCTGCAGCCCACTTAAAAGGAAGAGTCCAGATTTGGTTACTCATATTAAGAACCCCAATGTTACTCACCCTATCTTGAGCTCTAATTGAGAATGCCCTAAAGAAATCTTTTCATTGGCGTCCAATTTTTTCCCCATGCCCAGTCCAATAACTCCATCCCCAGCTCCAATTTATATGCTGCTTCCAGTCCAAATAAGTCTACTCCAACTTTTCGTGCGCTTCTTCTTTCATTTGCTTGTGCTACTGCAATCTTCCTGTGATGTTCCGAAACACATCAAAACTTCTAACAGAGGATGGTAATGGCTTTGCAACCATTTTATAGTCAATTGGCTTTCGAACAAGTATTATATGTCTCAAACATATCATGAAATAATCACATTAAGCACATAATATCATTATGTTTTTGAATTATCAATAGAGATGGTAATTTTTAGGCTATATCTCCTCTGGCTCATCACTCGCATGAGCTCCCTCATTTTCATCTCCTTGTCTCGTACATTTTCCCAACATTTACAAGCAACCGCTAAGGAGGAAATCATGTCAACAGAGCCAATGGACGCTGACCAAATTGTGGAGTTTGAGCTTGATGATGAGGAAGAAAGCATACGACGGGAAAATTAAGCATGATCGGCAAACTATTGATAAAAAATCCATCGAGCTAGAAGACAATCCATAAAATGATTCAATGGGAGTGGCAATGCTCTGGCAAAGTGACAGTCATGGAAGTAGAGCTAGGTCTTCTCCAGTTTTTATTTGAGGATGATCGAGTTAAGGACTGAGTGCTTCATCGAACTCTGTGGCAAGTGAAGGATCGCATCTTACAAGTGCAGGACTAGGAGTCGGTTACTCCATAGGTGGTTGAATGGTTGGAAAGGGCATTATTTTGGTGCAAATGTGGGGAATTCCCTCACATTGTTGACCATAGCATTCGGTAAACATTTGGTAAACATATAGGCACAGATAAATCTTCCAACACTTCTTGACTTTATTGACCCTCCGCATGAAAGAGGAAAAGGAGCAAGCGCTCTTGCTTGATTAGACTCGCCAAGTACCAAAATGCGAGGCAAAACATGCCCCCTTCTGCGCATTAAGGAAGCACAACTCCTGACTCACCTTTGGAGACTAGAGTAGCCACATGGTATTTATGGAAAAAGGAGAAGCGAATGGGTCTTTGAAAGGAAAGTAATGGAGGATGCAATACTGGCACAAAGGATTGAGTGCTAGGCGAAGACAATAGGAGAAGCACAAGCCACAACAATTTAAATGTGTAGAAGCCAAAAAAACTGTTCATAACTTATTATTGACTCCACCAACTCAAGATTGGGTAGTCGTCCACATGGACATATTGGTTAAGCAACCAGCATCAGAAGCAACTACCGACATCTTATGAGAGATTACTTAGAGAGAGGGTGCATATCGTATGACTAGGGGATGCTTAGTCACTTGACTAAGCCCCCTCCGGAATGAGATTAGTTGCTAATCCCTTAAGGGGTTAGCACCATACTAGCTTCCATAATAACCATTAAATTAAAATGAGTAAGGTAAGGATTAATTCAAGGATAGTTTAGTAATATTACTTTAAACCCTAATATAAAAATTCAATTATCACCGCTTCTTCCACTTTGCCGCTCAACTCATTCCCTCTTTCCTCATGAACTGCCTTTTCTCGTCCCCACCTCTCTCTATAGAAATTGTCGTCGTGGGGATGAAGAACGTCGACGAGTCGCCCAAAGAGACAAACAACGACGAGAGAAGACGGGAATGGGATAGAAGAGGCATACGACGATGATGACGATGGAGGCAGTAGGCAAGCAGCGACAATGGCGATCGATCGAGGCATGCGACGACGATTCGCCTCTTCCCCCGCCCCTCGCTACACAAACCATCACCTTCGACACACTCGCATGCGCCATCCTCACCTCCGCCAGCCTCGCCCCCACCACCCTTCCCACCACCACAGGCCTCGCAAATCGCAAGATGCAAGCCCTTCAAATGGGAAGAGCATGTTAGGAGCCAAAAATAGCAAGAAGTAATGGTATGGGCGAAAGGAAAGGCTGCCAGATCTGTAACATTTATTCGATTAGTAGTGATTTTGATTAGTAGTAATTGTATAATAGTGTTTCTCATAGGTATTAGTAGTGATTTTTTATTGTAAAGAGCTTGTTAGTTATTTGTAGTACTCTATTTTTTGTTATAGTAGTATTTTCTTCATTTACAGTAGTCATTCTTACTGAAAATTTTAATCACTATGGATTAAAAATTACTATCAATGATAATAAAGTCATGAAGTTACTACTACAAACCACAAAATCACTATTACTGATATTAAAATAACGGGTTAATTGTATGGTTGGTCACTGAGATTACAAAAAACGTTCATGTTTGGTCACTGGAAATATTTAAATCCAACCTTGGTCACTCAAATTAGTTAAATGGTTCAAATTTGGTCACTCTCCGTCCAACTCCGTTAAATTTGTCTGATGTGGCAGTCAACCCTCAAAGTTGACCGTTAACTCGGTGACCTGGCAATTAAAAAAAATTAAATTTTAATCTTCTACCATTTCCAACTCATTTTCACAATAAAGTAAAATAAAAAAATATTATAATCACAAATTGAGGTTTTAGGGGAATCGAGGTTTTTCCAGTACTGGCTTCGCTTGGGAGCGGCGGCGGCGGCGGGAGAAGCGAGTTCAGGGGAGAATGAGTTTTTTAGGCCGGAGAAGGACTTGCTGTCTAGGATGGAAGTCGGGCTCATCATCGCCGCAGCTTGGACGATTTCATTCTTGAAGGAGGCGAAGGCAGTGGAAGGCGGCAAAAGGAAACTGTAGTGGGTTTTGATTTTTCCACTGCCCAAAAAGGAAAACAGAGGAAACCCAATTTTTAGCGAACCAAAAAGGAATTCTGAATTTGATGAATTGAAACGATAAGACGAACCTAGGAAATCGGACGGGACCTTCCCGTTGGAGAATCTTCCGGTGGGAACTCCGCTGTAGAAATCCCTGCCGTAGGGCGGGAAGTTGCATCTAGCAGGGGAAGTAAGGATCTTGTTGTTGTTTCCCGTATCGACGATTGAATCGCCGACACGGATTCATTCGCCGGGATTTGAATCCAGGCGGAAGCGGGTCCGGCGGCGAAGAGGAGGATCAAACCCACAACGGCAAATGAGGAGAACGAAATTGATGAGCTCGACATTGCTTTGTTTGTAAACAAAAAATGTAAAAAAAAAAAAAAACAAAGTAAGGCTTTCACTCTCAGTACACTCTGTTTTTTGGGGTTTACTCTGGCAAAACGAAAGCTGCGAACTTTCTGTATAGATTGGAGGGACCATGGAGTAATCGTACTGGCGCTTCATTAATGGAGGCTGCCCGGATTTGGATGCTGATGGAGTCGGATCGGGCCGCCAATTATTTCCGGGTTCTCGTTCGCGAGATGGCTACGACTCTGGAGGTCCCGCCGCTCGAGGCTCTTGATCTGGCGTGCGAGGCGATGGAGGTGGCCGAGTTGGTGACAAGGCAAGCGAGAGAGACGAGGTTCGAAGTCGGATCGGATGCCCAAATAGCCATGGCCAATGTCCTGGCGATCTTGAGCCGGTTCGAGAGCGGCGAGGTCCCCGATCGCCGCCGACGCTCCCAAGCGGAGCCAGTACTGGGAAAACCTCGATTCCCCTAAAACCATTATAATAATTTATTTATTTATTTTATTTTATTGTGAAAATGAGTTGGAAATGGTAGAAGATTAAAATTTATTTTATTTATTATTTTATAATTGCCACGTCACCGAGTTAACGGTCAACTTTGAGGGTTGACTGCCACATCAGACAAATTTAACGGAGTTGGACGGAGAGTGACCAAATTTGAACCATTTAACTAATTTGTGTGACCAATGTTGGATTTAAATATTTCCAGTGACCAAACATGAACGTTTTTTGTAATCTCAGTGACCAACCATACAATTAACCCTTAAAAAAGGGGATTGCTATTCGTCGCCCTAAATTAACTTACTCGTCGCCCTAAATCTTATTGAATTTACACAAATACCCTTATTTTTAATTTTTCGCGGGTATTGAACACAGAAACGGAGCGGCGCCGAGGATTTGCTTACCTTTCTTCTTCGCTTCAATCAACCAGCTACGTCCGAGATCTGCCTACCCTCCTTCTTCGCAGCACCAGACCAACACCGCCCGGGATTTGCCTCCTCTCCTTCCTCCTGCACAAGAGCGACAACTATTGGAGAATTATATGGAACGAAGAATTGGTTAATATATGAACAGATTAGTCTGATCATGAACCAAGTTGTCCTTCCATTTAATTTGAATTAACCATCCACATGATTTATTGGAAAAGAAAGGTCCAATTAATGGTCCCCGTAATTAATTGTTCAATTTGAATGAACAAAGGATATATCCCCCAATTATTGTGCCTCCATGAATGGTTGAATGCATAAATGAAGCAGGTGGCGGGGATTGAATTCGGCGACAGCAGCAGCCGCCGTCCTCCTCTGCCTAGCAACAGCAACACGACATCGCCAGGGATCAGTTCTGGGTTTTGCCAAGAATCGGAGGCGGCGGATTATGGTTGCCGAGAGAAGGCTCTAGGGTTTAGGTTTGATTTGGGGTAGGGGTATACGTGTCATTTCAGTGTAGTTTAGGGCGATAAAATTTAAATTTTAGAGCGACGAATAGCGTTTCAGTAAAATAGCGTTTCAGTTAAAATAACTATGGAACTTTATAAAAACACTACAATTAAAACCATACAAAAGTAACCGTTCAAAGAGTGAACAGATTGAGTTTTTTTTTTATTCTCTCAAATTTGTTTTACTCAAACATACAAAATTAAAAATTTGTAACCATTGTTTACGAAGTGAATAGATTTGTAAACATCTATTTCAACGAGTACAAATCTATTTCAACGAGTCGAAATGAAGCACACCTTGTTGGAATTCAAAGCTCGTTTCCTTTGCAGTGCGAGTGTCGAAGCAAGGCCGCGGCAGCACAATACTAGGTTGCTTTTCACCCTCTTCTGCCACTGGCGTATCGGGGATTTTGATGAGAATCAGTCGCCCAAATTTGCAAACTCATGATCCTGCAGCAATCGAATTCCATTTCCCTTCTTTTATGCTTCGCTTTAGCCGTGTTCGTCCGGAGCTGCTTTGGAGGAGAGTCGTCCACCTGTTTGGCAGTATACAATGAAGGCGGAGCTCCGGCGGTGTTTAAATCTCCGAAATGTCCCCGCTGGAGCCTTTCCAATTACCAGTCCCAAGCGGACAGCACCACGCCTACCTCCGGCCGTTGCCAATGGGCGATGCTTCGAGGTCGAAGAAACTCTCAGGAGGACAGAATCCTATGTGCTCATGATCTTCGCATTCCTTTACCTGGTATGTTTTTATGTTTCAGCTCTCTATTAGAATTGGATGGCTGCTGCGAAATTAGAGTATGAACTGATTACTGATGGAGTGCTCTCAGAGAGTCCAATTTCCTTGATGCCGGTAAAGGGTACTGAAACTAAGTGTGGGCGAGGTTGAAATGAATGGCAAATGTTACGTTTTACGCTAGCATGTGACAATTGTTGGTGCCAAATGAATAGAAGGCTTTGTGGTATGATATGTCTCCTCTTAGATTCTGAATTCTTACTCCGGACAGGTAAAATAGGACTTAAGGAGGTGAGGGTTGACATGGTAGCGGTGTTTGATGGTCATAATGGTGCGGAGGCGAGCGAAATGGCTTCAAAGCTCCTGCTGGAGTACTTTGCACTGCATACTTACTTCCTTCTGGATGCAACATATTCGTTAGCATTCAAGAGATCGACTGGAAGACTACCGAGCGAGAAAGAGAAGGATGTCACTTTTCAGCTGTTGGGTTCAAAAGAAGAACTTGGTCGAGCTGATTTCAAAATCGACAGGTGCTCTCAACTTGTATATGCTTATTTGTTTTTTATAGACGAGATTCCGTAGCTTGGTTTCATATCGCATGCTTCCATTTGAGTGAACTATGCTATGCAATTGATAAGTGGATAGGAATGGTAGAATAAACAAGAAGCATAGACAAAGGCGCAGATACATGTGGACACAGAGCTGTTGGATATGCTATCTTGTGGTCTTGGCCACCCACTGTTTTCTTCTTGATATGCATAAGCAAAAGTTGTATTCTGCTTCAGGTTTAAATTCTCTTTGCCAGACAGTTTCGATGAATCTTTTCATTTAGAAATTTTGAAGGAAGCATTGTTGAGGGCAATCCATGATATTGATACCACATTCTCCAAGGCAAGTTTGTCATTTGTTTGTTTGACTTGTTCTGCATTTTGGTCCATTTTTCGCAGTACCCCTCTTTTGATATACTGACAGTTCAGGATTCCCTCAATTATGATGAAGGAAGCATCCAGGAAAAATGTTAAATCAGGCTCCACAGCTGCTGTTGTATTGCTTGCAGAGGGTCACATATTAGTTGCCAATCTTGGAGATTCAAAGGCTATTTTGTGCTCTGAAAAGTTTCAATCTCCTGAAGAGGCAAAAGGTAAGAAACATGTTTTGAGATGTGACAAATACAGTCTGACATAGTTTTGTTAGGCTAAGTGGATTAGCGCGGAGGTATATATTGTTTGATCGGTTTTTGAGTGTCATATGCTTTTGATACTTCCCTTATGTGAATTCTTTCTTTTGGTTGTATACACAATGATTAATATTCTTATGCTCTTTAACTGCAGCTGCTTTGTTAAAGTCGTACAGGGAGCAGATTCATAATGGAGCAGTTTCACATGCAAGAAATTATAGAAGCATCAGATCAGCAGTATCCAATGGAGGGAAACGGTTTCTCTTTAAGGAATTAACTAGAGATCATCATCCTGATAGAGAGGATGAAAAGATTAGAGTGGAAGCTGCTGGTGGATACATACTTGAGACAAGTGGTGTGCATCGGATAAACGGTGAGCTGGCTATTTCACGAGCAATTGGCGATATTCAGCTCAAGAGGTTGGTTGGTGAATATGTGTTTATTTGTCCATCCAACGTAACTGTTATGATTCTGTGTAATATCACTGGTATAAAGCTTCTCCTTTTTCTTGTTTTTTTACTGTTGTCAGTTATGGTGTGATATCTGTGCCTGAAGTGACAAATTGGCAACCTCTCACCGCTAGTGATAACTATCTCGTGGTTGCATCTGATGGCGTGTTTGAGAAGTTGGGATTTCAAGATGTCTGTGATATATTGTGGGATTCCAAAAACTGCGGGACTAGAAAACTGGGGTTGTCTTCTTCTCACTCATATTCCTTAGCTGAGTGTTTGGTTGAGGCAGCATTTGTTGAGGGAAGTATGGATAACATAGCAGCCGTGGTGGTTCCATTAGGACCTAGTGTAGTTTCTAAAACATTGCTGAGAGAGAGGTGTGTTGAGGAAGAAGACATAGATTGTTCAACAACGAGAGTAACAAACTTTATGCATGAAGAATCAGGTATATATCTTTGCTTATAGGCCTCCTACAGATGCATGTAATTTCGATTCCAGTCCTGTTATGTCTATTGTTAGAGAAGTGATAGTCTATTTCCTTGCCTTAATATGATGGCCTTGTCCGATGTAGAACTTACTGGTGTAAACTGCATGTCATTGGCTGGGGTGGAATTACCTTCACAGTTTCACTCATGGCTACTTAAGCAAGATTTACATGATGTCATTTTGTGTATTCACTTGGTATAACGGCCTGCATATGCAAGCAACAAGCACCATTTTCTTATTGGTACCACTTTTTATTATTTTTAGAGTTTGCTTGCTTGTTGGTATTGACAAGTACAATTGACGTTTTGAGTCTTTCTATTTCGTAGAATTTCTATGATGTGCTTTTATTGCCTTGTTAACTGTATGCAGACATCTTCACGTAGTCCTAAATGGCTGTAAATGGTATATGAAGATGATGTTGGACTTTGTATGATGCATTGAGCGCTATACATTTGAATCATAGAGGCTGTTGTATAAATGATGCTGTTCTTGGCGAATTTAATGCTGGTCCTCCTGATTTTATTACTGCTCTGAACTAGTC